GGTGTCGGTGCTTTTCAAGTCCTGAATGAGGTGGCACATAAATCTGGAGAATTCTAGGTTTAAACTGGAGAATAATTTAAGTTATTATCATTGGGGGGGATCTTCCACTCTCTCCACCATTTAGAGCTCTTTTCTGTAAATGCCTTAGTGCTCTAATCATGTCATGATCGACTGATGGGTAATCCTGCAAAAAGGTAGGTTTTTCACTTCCTTTGAATGAAGAGGCCAAATGGAGGCAGTGTGTTTTACACTAAAATGTGCAAAACTGTTCTGGTTTGTTTTCATTTTATGAAAAGCATATGAAAACTATGAAAAGTACTGTACAAGTTAATAATAACTTCAGGTGGGCTCTGTTTTGTAGAGCAGAGTTCAAAAGAGTACCTCTAGTATAAACAGCTCTCCCATTCTCTCTTTTCCTTGTAATAATTCACCGAGTTGATGCCTGGGCTATGGTGTGGCCATTTCTTGGCAGAATGGTTCTTCTGGATTTTACTTGGTTTGGTGTGTTTTCAGGAATAGGCTTTTATTGCCTAATACTGAAATTGCTAGTTGGAGGAGCTTGTCGTCTGCCTCTCGTCACATGTAATTTTAATTTAGCATTCCGACTTTTGTAGTCCTCCTTGCTTGCTCCATAAATCTTAACTGCTTCTCCAAGTAAAAAGCTGCATGACCAAGGCAGGAGAAAGAGCCCCACCAGCTTCATGTCCTGTTCCTCTCTCCAGCCATCCTTACTGTCCCAGCCCAACACCGTAACGGAGAAATTCCTTTGGGAAAGGGTTGGCTTGAATCCCTGCAGTCCCAGAAAATTCACACGGTTCCTCAAATGTAAGAATCGTAAATGTACTAGAGGAGATGTTCTGGTAAGCAAGTCTACTAGAATTCTTCTTCCCTGCATCTCAGATAAAGAATGGCGGCCGTTCAGCCGATTACAGCACCCTCGTTTAAGTTCCTGTTTTTAAAGATGGCATAAATGTTTGCCAAGAAAGGTAACTGCCAACAAAAAAAGAAGATTGCCCCTCTTGGGAGGCGATGGTAGGAAAGTGGGCTGTTTTATTTTCTGATATTTTCCTTTAGCACTTGTGATTCGGAAGATTCTAATGTATAATACACCAGAAATTGAAACCAGTCACGAGAAACAAAGCTTGAAATGCCTTCCTGTAGTGCAAGACTTACAGTTTTTCAGTGATTCCTATTTTAAGGAATGGTTTCAAAAACCAAAGCCTCAGGGTTAAAACAAGCTCTTTTACCTCTTACATATGCTCCAAGCATTTAAATCTACTCCACAAGCATGCCATTTTGCAAGTACCTTATTTTCTTTCCACAGAACGTCAAAAGCACTGCGGGAAGTGCCATCTATGGAATACAAGCGATATGGACACTCTTCTGAGACTATTTTTGTTGTTGTGTTTCAAGATAAAGGCAATCGAGTATTTGTAGGAAAAATAAATACATATACCTTTTGGCAGTGTGATGTAGCTGAAAATAAAATATTTTTCTGCTCAATTTTTGACATACTTCCTGGAATTACTGAGCTTTCAGTAACTTTTTTTCTTAATATTCTGCAGCCTACAGTTGTATTCACCGCAGCTGACATGAGCTCAGAGAGTTTGTCTTTATTTAACCTTAGAGAGGAATCCCAGGCTTGCTCCGTAGCTGGGCAGAGCTGTTGGGAAGGATCTGCTCCAGACCGCAGTGGAGAGAGCGCGGGCAGGGTCCCGCTCTGAATTGTGCCTGCTACAACATCGCTCCATTGGTGATACCGGCAATCCTGCAAAACAAGGCTCCGTAAAGTGAAGTTAGCCATTATCAGGCTCTGATTAATATTTTCTTTCATTATTCATCCTTTTCCTTCTTTGGCTGATATCTTGATGAATCCTGTTGTTAAAGTCCTGCATCCCACTGCTTCTCATGATGTTTGGGAGTTGAGGGCGCTGATTAGAAAATTCCTTTTCTACCTGAAAAATGCATATATTCTTGGGGGGGGG